AATAAGACAGTCAAATAGAGTGTGGAAGAGGAACACATGCATACTGCACTCCAACTTTTGTAAAAGAAAAATATTAAATATGAGCTTTAAAAGTCATAAAAATTCTAAAGAATTCACACACACACACACACACACACACAAATGGTGCTGATTAAAGAGACACACATTCCAGGATATTCTGATGTCACTGTGGTGTGTGTTACTGTTTCAATTAGGGAACAAGCACACTCAGGGGCCAAGGAGACGACTCAGTTGGTAAAGTGCCTTCCATGCAGCATGACAATCTGAGTTTGAATCCTTAGCACCCACATAAAGCTCTAGGTCCACCTGTGCATGCCTACAATTCCATGACTAGGCAGCCAGAAATGGGCGGATCCCTGGAGTCTGCAGGCCAGCCTATCCAAATTCATGAGCTCCAGATGCAGAGAGAGATGCTGTCTCAAAAAGTGAAGTTGTAAGGGGCTTGGAAGATGGCTCCATGGTTAGGAGCATTTGTTGCTCTTGCAGAGATCACGGGTTCAGTTCCTGGCACCCACATGATGGCTCACAACTGACTGTAACTCCAGTCCCAGGGGATCTGATGCCCTCTTCTGACCTCCATGGACACTAGGCATTTGGATAAAAATCTTACACATAAAAATAATAAACTTGCCGGGCAGTGGTGGCACATGCCTTTAATCCCAGCACTCGAGAGGCAGGGGGGCAGGCAGATCTCTGTGAGTTCGAGGCCAGCCTGGTCTACAGAGCAAGATCCAGGACAGTCAGGGCTAAACAGAGAAACCCTGTCTCAGAAAAAACAAACAAACAAACTTTCTTTGGATGGAGCCAGGTGTAGTGATGTGCCCTGCTGTCGTCTCAGCACTTTCAAGGCTAAAATAAGAAGAATCAGAACTCAAGGGCATCCTGAACTACAGAACAGAGTATATTTCAAAAACCAAAACCTCCGAGGGCTGGGGGTGCAGCTCAGACAGAATGCTGGCCCAGCATGCACAAGGCCCTGGGTCTGGTCCTTAGCACTGTATACACCAGTCGTGATGGCACACACACAATCCCAGCATTCAGGATATGGAGACAGTAAGGTCAGAAGTTCAAGGTCATCCTCAACTATACAGTGAGGTCAAAGCCAGCCTGAGATATAAGACACTCTGCCTCAAAAAAGAAGGAAAAGAAAAACAAACACATAAATAGGAGCCTCGTGGCACAGGTCTACAAACCCAGCTACTCTAGAGGCTAAGACAAGGGGATGGCAAATTCAAAGCTTTCCTGCGCTGATGAGTGAGTTCAAAGCCAGTCTGGGAAAGTTAGTAGGATTCTAACTCAAGCCAATCGGTGGTGGGCACGCCTTGAATCCCAGCACTCCAGAGGCAGAGGCAGGCGGATCTCTGTGAGTTCGAAGCCAGCCTGGGCTACAGAGTTCCCGGACAGCCAGAGCTACACAGAGAAACCCTGTCTTAAAAACCAAAAAAAAAAAAAAGATTCTGACTCAAAAAGTAGAAAGGTTTGGGGATACAGCTCGACATCATGTGGTATTTTGCTTACCCAGGATATACAAGGCCTGAGTTCAGTCTTCACCACTGGAAAAGAAAGATTGGATGTAAGAAATGTGTATATATATATATATTCAATGTATATTTCTTTCTTTTAAACTTTCCATGGGACAATACTTGGGCTTCCAACTGCCCCCTAGCCTTGCTGTGGGAACCTGTCCCAGGATGGCCATTTCTGGCTCCGTTTGTAAAGGCTCAATAACCTTTTCAATAACCCCCCGCCTTTTTTTTAATTCCAGAGGTCTCTTATTCTCAGGAGTTTGGGTTTGACACTAACAAAATATGAACTTCCAGTTACACTAGTGCCCAAATCATGTCTTGACTTACACAGTTGTTTGAAGGTTTGGAGTTTCTCATCTTAAATGCCAAGATCACTGTTTAGGGGTTCTAGCTCAAGCTATGACACGTCTGTCCTCAGCTACCGCAGCTACTTCTGCTGACCCCCAGTTCTCTGTTTCTCTCTCTCCTCTCCCACAATCCATTTCCACAGTGCAATGGGGTTGGTCACAATTTTTACATCCAATTCCCATATTCCCCACAGCCCATGAGTTAAAGTCCACCTGCTTAAGAGGATTTGCAAGTCCCTGGAGCCTCACCTCCCTCTCCACTCTCTCTCTCAGGACTTGCTAGGCATGGGAGGACTGCTAGCAGCAGCAGCAGCAGCAGCAACATCACCACCATCATCATCACCAGCAGCAGCAGCAACTTCACCATCACCATCATCACCAGCAGCAGCAGCAGCAACATCATCATCATCACCAGCAGCAGCAGCAACATCACCATCATCATCATCACCAGCAGCAGCAGTAACATCACCATCACCATCATCACCAGCAGCAACAGTAACATCACCATCATTATCATCACCAGCAGCAGCAGCAACATCACCATCATCATCATCACCAGCAGCAGCAGCAGCAACATCACTATCACCATCATCACCAGCAGCAGCAGCAGCAACATCACCATCACCATCATCACCAGCAGCAGCAGCAGCAACATCACCATCAACAGCAGCAGCAACATCACCATCATCATCATCACCAGCAGCAGCAGCAGCAACAGCCACAGCAACATCACCATCACCATCATCACCACCAGCAGCAGCAGCAACATCACTATCACCATCATCACCAGCAGCAGCAGCAGCAGCAACATCACCATCACCATCATCACCACCAGCAGCAGCAGCAAGCAACATCACTATCACCATCATCACCAGCAGCAGCAGCAGCAACATCATCACCATCAACAGCAGCAGCAACATCACCATCACCATCAGCAGCAACAGCAGCAGCAGCAGCCCGACTGAGCGCAATTACCAAAATAAATGCACAGGGAGGCCAAAGATAAACACCCCGCTCCCCTCACACCCCCATCTCCCGGCCCCTACCCCCAGTTTGCCTCCTGTTGGTTAAAGGAGCACATCTCCTCTTTGGTGAGTGTCATTTTGCTCTCAGCAATCCTGGAGGAGGAGGAAACTGCAGGCCACAGCAGAGAGAAGGGTCCGGGTGCTGCACCCGCAGAGTTTTGAGAAGTAACTTGTCTTCTTTACAGCAGGGACCCACAACCCGGCTTCTGGAGAAGAGTCAATAGTGCAGCAAGCTGGGTTCACCCCAAAAGGTGGAATGGCCTAACAAGCTTGTTCAGTAAGCTCAAAGCGTGGCGCTGGAGAGACGGCTCAGCTGTTAAGAATGCTTTCTCCTTTATCAGAGGACCAGAGTTCAGATCCCAGCACTCACACTGACCTGTTCACAAACTGTACCTCCAGTTTCAAGGGATCCAACGCCCCCTCCTCGCCTCCATAGGTACACACACACACACACACACACACACACACACACACACACATACACACACACACACACACACACACACACACACACACACACGCACTCACACTCACATATACACACACGCACACATGCATTGCAAAATGAGAAACCATGGCGCACCTGAACTCCATCCTAAGGCCCTGGCCCTGGTGGCTTTCGTTGTAATTAGGAAAAGAGTGATTTTTCAGCATGACATCCCTCTCATTCACAGCCTAGCCTGCTTGACAGTGACATTGCCAGACACACGCTCTATCCAGGATATATTTATAGCCTTCTTTATACTTGAATTGAAGGATGTGATTTTTTTTTTCATATCACCCCAAACAATAAAGACCAGAGATCAAGCTATCTCGCAAGGTCCAGACCACATTCTCTTGAAAATCTGGCACACTTTCCAATATTCCAGCAAATGCTCTCACTGTGTGCAGTGGTTACTGACTAGTCATTTACCACTGTTGAGGGCTGAACCTACAAGCCGAGGCTCTCCCTGGGGCCCCGATTTATGGAGAAAGGACACAGGTCCTCCTCTAAAACCAAGACCATGCTTGGTGTAAGACACAGCTTGTACAAGACCTTCAGATCCCAAACTTTTTTTTTCCCTTTTGGTTTTTCGAGACAGGGTTTCTGTGTAGTTATGGTGTCTGTGGAGTCTAACTCGATGTAACCTGGAACAAGGCTTTCAGGATTTGGAGCTCCCTTTAGAGTGTGTGTGTGTGTGTGTGTGTGTGTGTGTGTGTGTGTGTGTGTGTGTGTGTGGCGTGTGGGGTGGGGGCTGCCGATCATGGCATGCTCTGTGGAGAGTATGGTAGGGTGCTGACCACAGCTGACCATGTGTTCCGTGGCTCTGGACTCCTCAAAGCACAGGGCCTCAGGCCACATTGTTTCTCAAGTGTGACACATGGTTTAAATCTCAGGTACCCGAAGAGCAACTGTGTTTCCCCAGCCTTTATCCGATGCCTGTGTCTTTCCTGGTGAGAGAGCTCTCACAGTCTCTGGACCGGGCGGCAACTTCACTGATGCCCGTTTAGTAACTTTGGAAATCGTGGGAAAGCTGTTCTTCGGTGTAAATTGAAATCTCTCGAAGCGAATCTTCATGAAAGCTAAGAAACCAGCAGAAATGATCTAAAGAGTTGCATCCCCCTCACTCCTGTCCTCTCTCTCTGCCTCAGCCCAGACTCCAGTTCCCACAAGCGCAGCCGCAGGGACACTGGGGACAGAGTCTCCACGTGTTAAGCCCAGTGAGCGTGGGAATCGTGTCTGACCCCCAGAGGCGCAAAATAAACAAAAACAAACAAAAGCAAATACCTTTTGAGAATTTCACTTGAAACACCAAGTGTAATAGGGTGGGGGTGGGGGGCTGATTCCTGAGCTTTGGGGGTGTTGGGGGTGCAGAACTGTGGAGAGCGGTTTCGGAAGGGCGCCGCATACCAGACAATGTGCTACAAGAGCCTCGGGCTGTGGCCTCAATGAGGCCTTTCAGCAGCTCCACACTGCCTCGCTTGTTCCCCTAGAGGGGCGCTTTCTGGAAGCTAAGCCCTCAGCTGGCAAGAGCAGGGACCCCTGTGCCATTTGTCTGTCAACGTCTTTAAAAGGCAAAGGCTCGCCTTCAGCTGTCCCGCTTCGCCTTTCCCTTCTGCGCTTGGGTGCACGCGGTGACAGACAGACGGAGGCGAGGGGCCCCTTCAAAACGGGGAGGAAAGAAACAAGGTAACAAGTGCCCCAGAAGGCCCTGCATTCGACTGTGAGAGAAGGCTTGGCCTCTCGGAGGAACCAGCACTAATTAGGAGGGAGAAAGGAAGAGCTAAGCCAGTCTGAGCACTCAATCAGCAGGCTGTTGCTCCTCGGGTCCTGAGCACCAAAAACTACAACCAAATAATAAACAGCTGTGGTCCGCCCGCCCTTGCCAAACTAACAGCGTCTCTCTCAAACTTTAAACGTAGCAGTCTTTTGGGGAGGGGGTGAATTCCATCCACCTCAACACCTTAATTCTTTTTAAGTTTTTTCACACTTAGCCAAGTCTGTTGACATGACTACCCAAAATGATCCAGACTGACTAATATCCCTAAAAAATAGTTTCCCCAAAACCTGTTTTCCCGGTTGGTTTGTTTGTTTTTATCTTGTTTTGTTTATTACTATTCTTTGGTGTGCCCCACATGGTTTTTACAGAGAATTTCTCTCCATGCTTTATTTAATGGCTTAGTAAGAATAGCTTGCCCTGGGTAAGCACTAACAGCTCCGGAAAGACGTCAGAGTGCCTAAGAAGAACTGAAACTCAACATTTCCTACAAATAATGTATTTTAAAAGTTACACTTGAATGTTGAAAGGGATGTTCTTTTAAAAGCACATCAACGTTGGTTTTGTTTGATCTGGGTTTTTTTGTTTGGTTGGTTTGGTTTTTGAGACAGAGTCTCATAAACCCAAGCTAGCTCAAACCCCGAGCCTCTGGAATCACAGGCACACATATAGTGTTGTTTACTATTACCAATATCCAAGTAGCTGGTGAATTTCAAACTTTCACCCTAAAGAATTGTGTTCTTCCTACTCATTCATTCAACTGCTATGTCTTGAGCCTCCGTTACATGCTAGAGACAGGCACAGTATGAAGAGTAGACAGGAAGTACCATCCTCGAGATGACATGTTCTAGGAGTGAGCAAGATGGAGGGTGGTCAATATAGTCAGCTTCTTTGCTCTTGACTGTTCTTATTTGGATTTTTGAGAAAGACTCTCACTATGCAGCCCTTGGCAGACCTGGAGCTCGGTATAGGGAGAGGCTGCCCTGGGTAACCTGGAGCTTGATATGCAGAGAGGCAGCCCTGGCTAGCCTGGAGCTCAGTGTGCAGAAAGGCAGCCCTGGCTAGCCTGGAGCTTGGTATACAGAGAGGCAGCCCTGGCTAACCTGGAGCTTGGTATACAGAGAGGCAGCCCTGGCTAGCCTGGAGCTCAGTGTGCAGAGAGGCAGCCCTGGCTAGCCTGGAGCTCAGTATACAGAAAGGCTGCCCTGGCTAGCCTGGAGCTTGGTGTACAGAGAGGCAGCCCTGGCTAGCCTGGAGCTCAGTGTGCAGAGAGGCAGCCCTGGCTAGCCTGGAGCTCAGTGTGCAGAGAGACTGCCCTGGCTAGTCTGGAGCTTGGTTTGCAGAGAGGCAGCCCTGGCTAGCCTGGAGCTCAGTGTGCAGAGAGACTGCCCTGGCTAGCCTGGAGCTCGGTTTGCAGAGAGGCTGCTCTTGAGCTCTCGGCTCTGCCTCTGCCTCACAGTGCTGGGTACAGGTGTGCACTGCCATACCCAGCTCTAAAAGTGGCCTTTAAAGTAAGACAAGAATTTGTACTAGCCCATTATTTGTCTGCTGCTTTTCCCATTCCCAGCATTCTTTCCAAAAGAGAGAAACCAGTGTCTGTGGTGCTGCAGCAGCTGGTACCCACCTGGAGGAGGTGAGGCCACATCAGAGAAGAGTTTAACGCCCGTTTCTTGAATCAAATGAAAGCTGAGATTCAGTGAATCCTTTTTATGTTTGTTCAACAGTTTTGAAAAGTAAACACTTTGATGCTCTAGATTATAGGATTTTGCATTTCTAAATTCAGACTCAACTGGTAAGACTGAAAATTATGGGCGGCCCAGCAATCCCATTCCATGTGTGTAGAGGGAGAGGCAAGCCTGTGCCCTGAAGGTCCGATGGGATGGACTTCAGGCTTTTCAGGTCATCTGCTCTGTAGCAATTACTCACAAGGGACAAACACCGTAGTTACTACCTGTCCAGTGGTGGGCTGCTCCAATCTGTTTATTTATGGACACTGAAATTTGAATTTTCATGTCAAAATATTAATCATATTCTGTACCCCAATATTAGCTTCATATCACAAAAATTATTGTTCTTATCTTTAAAATCCTTTTGGAAATGTAAAAGCCATCTTATAAAAAGTAGTGGAGGACCCATGGGCCAAGGCCTGGGCTAGCCAACGCCCTCCTTCCTAGGAGAAGTCTTACATGTGAACAAGCTCAGAGGTAAAGGAAATTGTTCAAAGCATCAATTATTTGCATTAGCAAGTATGCAAATACCAAAAATGTTAGCAAATATGCAAATACCAAAAACATTGGTATACAATTACCAAAACTATGTGTGTCAACACAGGTAACTTTTTTTTAATGGTGAAGTTTCTTTCTTTTTCTTATAATTTATTTTTATGTGCATTGGTGTTTTACTGCACGTATGTCTGTGTGAGGATGTCAGATCTTAGAGTTACAGACAGTTGTGATCGGCTATATGGGTGCTGGGAACTGAAACCGAGGTCCTCTGGAAGAACAGTCAGTACTCCTCACCGCTGAGCTATCTCTGCAACCCCCAACACAGGTAACTCTTACAAGCCAATGTCCAAGGGGAAGCACATTATAGAACAAGGCCATTTGCATAAGGTTTTAAAATATGCACGAATTATGTTACTATGCATATCTAACATACAGAGTGCAAATAGAAAAAGCATGTAGACATATTCAGTGTCAAACCCATCCATCCAGGACCACTGCAGGCAGGGGCCGAGAAGAGTAGCATGCTACTGGAGGAGAGATGGGAAGTCAGGGAGCAGAGGTAAGGAGGCGTGGGGCTTCCCTCAGATTGTTGAGATTTTAAGTTGAATGTCAAGCTTATGGTATCCAGACTCAGAATCTTGTGGTGCATCTTAAGTATTTAATAATAAATACAAGGAAATATATAGAGTTAATGTGAGGAAGGATCATTTTTTGTTTTTGCTAATTGGGGGTGGTACCTTGTGCTACAGTACACATGAGGAGGTTCAACCTTCAGAGAACAACCTGCAGAGTGTTGAACTCAGGGGGCCAGGCTTGGCAGCAAGCCCCTTTACCTGCTGAGCCGTCTTGCCAACCCAAGAGACTAATTTTTATTTTAAAAATCCAAACATACAAGTTCAGTTATGGACCAGATACTAAAAACGAAAAGCAATTGTTTCATTTTTTTAAGTTGGACGGAACCTTGGGAGACAATCTCTGTGGCGCCCTCGAACACTGACGGGCTTCAAGCAACAGGCTGGTTCTTTTTTAGACTGATTTTTTTTTTTTTAACGTGATGATTATTTTGCCTGCAAATACGTCTGTGCACCACATGTGTGCTTGGTTCCCACAGAGGTCAGAAGACCGCACGGGATGCCCTGGAAGTGGAGTTACAGATGGTTGTGAGCCAGCATGTGCGTGCTGGCAACCGAACCTGGACCCCTTGAAAGAGAATTGCTATTCATCAGCTTGCGCTCCGCCTGCCCGCTTGGCTCCTCGTTCCAGATGGGACTTCACAGAGCTGCAGTGATCCACAGAGGCCCGGAATCGCGCCTCCCATCACCTGCTCAGAGGAGGTGTCAATGACGTGGGTGTTCGTGCGCGAAATCCGGCGAGATCCTCCCCTTTCGTCTGGCAAAAGCTCCCAAGACATCATTATAGAAGGAAAAAAACGAAGCCGGCAGGCTCTGCCCGTCCTGGCCTCGGATGCAGTAGCTGCTAAGACTGTTCTGGATTTACAACTATTCCCATAGTTCTTTAGCCATCTCCCGGTCACTTAGGTCACTTCATTTTCTGCAAAGACCCCCACCAACCGCAGAAACTGCGACTTTTGAGCAGACAGTGCCCTCTAGTGCTGTACTTAAATAATAAAAACTTAACCACTTTTTTTTTTTTTTTTTTTCAGATTCACAGTGGTGACATTTAGGTCTTGATGTTGCCACAGGCCGTCTTGTCCGCTGTGGGATGCTTAGCAGCAACGCTGGTATCTGCCGACCAGACACAGTGCCGCTCAGGTCAGGTGTGGCAACCAAAATATCTAAAGACATCAGCTGACTGAGACAAGCGGTTGAGAAATAAAGCTTGTTCTTCTGGCCAAATACAGGGAGAGGGCTGGGAGGGCGGGGATGACTCTGTCTATTACAGAACTACACTGCTTCCTTTGTTTTTCACTTTTATCTTTTAATGTATGTGGGGGTACTGCTTGCACATGCATGTGTGTGCCATTGTCCTTGGAGGCCAGAAGGTGGTGTTGGATGCTCTGGAAATGGAGTTACAGATGCTTGTGAGCCACCATGTGGGTCCTGGAAACTGAACACGGATCCTCTGGAAGAGCAGCCAGAGCTCTTAACCGTTGAGATGTCTCTCCAGCACCATCTCCCACTTCTTTTTTAAAATCAGGGTCTCGCGTAGCCCAGGCTGGCCTCAAACTCACTATATAGCCGAGGCTGCCCTGAAACTCCTGCTGTTCCTGTCTTGGTTTTCCTGATGCTGGGATAAAGACCATGTGCCACCCGGCCAGCAGTCCCTCTCTACTGACTGTGAACATTTATACTGTTTTATAATGTGTCACTCAGTAGTGTAACTGTACAACTGGCAAGCTCCTGTTCCAAGAACCTTGAAACGGAGGTACGTTAGCCACAGCAGCTAACGTGCTCACCCCCTGCCTCCACTTCAGAAGCTGTTGCTTTACTGGCTGTTTCCACTGGCTTCACCCATCTCTCTCTAATTCAGAGCCATTAGATAGTCTTCGGGACACACTATGGAGCAAATCAGAGTCTTCAGGCCTTTATACTTTAAAGGACTGATTTAGGACGTACATTTAAAACTAGAACCTAGAAATGTATGTGACTTGGCTAGATTAAAAAGCTAAACAGGGGGCTGGAGAGATGGGTCCAGCTATTAAGAGAGCTGGCTGCTTTCACAGAGGACCTGGGTTTACTGCCAGCAGCTGCATAGTGCCTCACAACCATCTGTAACTCCAGTTCCAGGGATCCGATGCCCTCTTCTGGCCTCTGTGGGCACACGCAAACATATTTGAAGGCAAAAGACCCAAACACATTTTTTTAAAAAATTAAAAAAAAAAAGCCACAACTAAATGGAAATGCAGTCTAGAAAGCTGTGCTCTGACTGGAGAAAACTCTGCATGTCACCAGACCTCAGGGGACCTTTTCCCAGCTATGTGGAAAGTTCAAGTTACTCTGAAATGTTATTTTAAAACATCTGGAAGTTATCTTAAGCAAAGAATCCTCGAAATTGACTAATATAATCCATTGCTAATTTCACAGCACTTTGCATTGCGTCTCCCTCGTAAGAAACTGTCCTGGCTCCTCTCTACAAGAAGTCGGTGTCCTCCCTCCCAGACCCTGTGGATGTCACTGGACAGGATGAAAGGATTGCAGGTCGACTAAGGAGTCCGTGTGAGTGAAAGAAGGACATGGGGAAGGCAGAGAAGGGAACACGATGAAGGAACCCGAGGCCAGAGGGGTATGCTGTCTGCTTCAAAAAGGAAGAGCTCAGGGGCCGAGGAATGTGAGCTGTGTCTAGAAGCTGTAAAAGGCAAGGGAAAGGCTCACTCCTAAATCCTCCAGAAGCGATGTGTCCATCTCAAAACGTCCTTGATTCCAAAACCGTAAAATTGATTTGTGTAAGCGATGTTCAAGGGAATCTGTTCTGGCAACAAAAGAAAATGACCACAGGGTAGCTGATTAAGTTTTTAATGTCTTATCCTGTTAGAATTTCTGCATTTGAACAATCAAATCTCATCAGATTGCTATAAAACTCACGTGTGGGGCTGGAGGGATGGCTTTAGGAGCACTTTCTGCTCTCCCGGAGGACCAAGGTTCAGTTCCCTGCACCCCACAAGGCAGCTCACAACTATCTGTTATTCCAGTCCCAGAATGTATGATGCCCTCTTCTGGCCTCCTTGGGCACCACACATGCATTAGGTACACAGACATACATGTAGATAAGACAACCATACACATAAAAATAAATAAATAAATAAGCTAATTACTGCTGTGCTTCTCCTAAAATATGCTTATCATTCACTTTTAAGTAAATAACATATTCCAAAATTGTAAGACAGAGGCCAACACAAATGTAAATACCTCTATCTGCCATCAAAAGATGAACATATTTGTTACTTTATTTGCATTTAATTAAATGTGTGGCAAATTTTAAGTAGCTACTGACCAAATCTCAAGAGATAAAGCAGATCTAAGAACCTGTGCTGGCTGATCTTATGTCAACTTGACGCACACACTAGAGTTATCTGAAAGGAGGGAACCTCAATTGAGGAGAGGCCTCCATAAGATCCTGCTGTAAGGCATTCTCTTAATCAGTGATTGATGAGGAGGGCCTAGCCCATTGTGGGTGGTGCCACCCCTCGGATGGTGGTCCTGGGTTCTATAAGAAAGCAGGCTGAGCAAGCCATGATGAGCAAGTCAGTAAGCAGCACCCCTCCATGGACCCTGCATCAGCTCCTGCCTCCTGGTTCCTGCCCTGTTTGAGTTCCTGTCCTGACTTCCTTTGGTGATGAACAGTGATGTGCAAGTGTAAGCTTTTTCTTTTGGGGGGGGGACTTTGGGGGCATGGTGTTTCGTCACAGAAATAGAAACCCTAACTAAGATAGGCCCTGACCATACTGGCTTTTAACAGACTAAAGCTGGATTCTGAAAACAGACTCTAACTTCAGAAGACAAAGGGGCAAAGTTGCCAGTGCCTCCTGGGGTGACTGTCGGGTGAGCAGACCTTCTGATGGGTAGTTAGAAACAGCTGTCGCTGCAGCAACAGCTGAACGTGACAAAGAGCGGAACGCAGACCTCGCTCCTTAATATAGACCAATGCCTGGCCGTACGCTCTCCTCGTCCACCACCTGTGTGGGGGCTGCTGCGGTGTGGGGGTCACTGCACGGTGCCCAAGGGGCCAGCAGCCCCCCAGATTCCTATGATCACAAGCACTCTCCTAGTCAAGTGTGACTCACACATTCCTAAGCTGTCCCTCAAATAACTAAAACGATAGCATGAACCCCAAAGTCAACAGCTTGCCTTCCTACCTCCAACCATACTGTTTATTATTATTCTACATTCAGCTCGTGGAACTTTCTGAAGAAAACGCTAAACAAAAGCTCGTCACCTACCTCCCCAGCATACTTATGAAAAAAAATGAGAATCCCTTCACTGTAGAGTTTTCCCTGAACAACAAGAAGATAAGCAACCCACAGACACACAGAGAAAGACTGTATGGCAGGGGGTGGGGGTGGGTCTCAAAATAGCTTACCTGGAGGTCTTGGCAAGTAGTGATGAGGGACACTCTAGATAGAAAGGAAAAGTGATCACAGAGAAGTGGTGTGTTCTTTTCCTGGACAGATGCAACAATATCTTAAAAATATCACAAACTAGCCGGGCGGTGGTGGCGCACGCCTTTAATCCCAGCACTCGGGAGGCAGAGCCAGGCGGATCTCTGTGAGTTCGAGGCCAGCCTGGGCTACCAAGTGAGTTCCAGGAAAGGCGCAAAGCTACACAGAGAAACCCTGTCTCGAAAAAAAAAAAAAAAAAATCACAAACTTAAACCACCCAGAACTTTCTCTCTCACCATTCTGGGAGCTTGACATCTGAAATCAAGATGTTTGCAGGTCACCCAAGAGGTTTGCTCGCCTCTGATTGGCATCTGGTGACTCTCCAGCCCTGAGCATCCCTTGGCTGGCAGACACAGCCTCAGTCCCTGTCTCCACTGAAACATGGGGTGTTCTTTGTCTCCCCCACCACAAGTCTGTGTATCTCCTCTCCCCTACAAGGACACCAGTCCCAAGACAACAAAGAAGGCCACATCCACCAGTGGAGTTAGGACTTAAACGTGTCTCTTTGGGAGAGACAATTCCCCCCACAACACACAGTAACGAGAAGTTGGGGAAAACTAGAAAATAGACTACTTTGGGGAAAGAATGGAAATAACACATGGAAAGGGGTCAACAGGAGCGGGTGTAGTGGCTCCTCCAGCAGTAGGAGGTGCACCAGGAAGATTAGGAGTTCAAGGTCTTAGGGTTCTGTTGCCGTGAAGAGACACCATGACCACGGCAACTCTTCTAAAGGAAAACATTTCATTGGAGCTGGCTTTCAGTTCAGAGGTTGAGTCCATTATCGTCATGGTGGGAAGCATGGTGGCATGCAGGCAGACGTGGTGCTGGAGAAGGAGCTGAGAGTTCTACATCTGGAACAAGAAGAGAGAGACAGTTTTCCTTGATAGCTGTGATGGTCTAAATAAGAATGGCCTCTATAGGCTCATATATTTGAATGCTCACGGAGTGGCACTATTTGAAAGGATTAGGAGGTGTGGCCTTGGAGTATGTGTGGCTTTGCTGGGGTAGGTATAAGCTTGTTGGAAGTGTGTCATGGGGGCAGGGCTTTGAGGTTTCATAAACCTATGCCAGGCCCATGTCTCTCTCTTCCTGCTGCCTTTAGATCCGGATGTAGAACTCTCAGCTACATACATCTGCTTTCACACCACCACACTAACTGCCATGAGGATAATGGACTAAACCTCTGAAACTGTAAACACACCTCAGTTAAATGCTTTGTTTTATAAGAGTTGCCGTGATCATGGTGTCTTTTTCATAGCAACAGAATACTGACTAAGACAATAACATATCAAATCCAAGGCCAGCCTGAGCTACGAAATACCCTGTCTCAAAGAGGTGGGGGCAGGACTGGAGTAGAGGACTTGATGAGTAAGTAATGAAAATACCACAGATTATTTCAAGTACAGGACTACAAGTTAAAGGCAGAGTCTTTCACAAAGCTGTCCCCTCTTCTGTGGGGGACCAGCCCCCATACTTATTTACTCCAGGAATTCTTGAGGAATGAGGGAAAAGAGACTTAGAAAGAGTGAAGAGAGAAACAGAGAGAAACACAGGATAGACTCGGGTGGGCCTGGATCCTTATCCACCGGCCCAGAACTTTATTCCAAAGGTCTATTTATAACAATGCCAAGGGGAGGAGCAAAAGACCTCCCCCTTGCTAGTTACAGTCACCTGGTACCCAGGTCCGTGGTCCAGTCAACATCTTCTGCAGTCCTGCTGGGTACAGTCACTAGGAAACCCAGTGGGCTCTAACACTCTTCTAACACAGCTTCCGGTGACTCTTGGAAAAGCAGGAGGGAAAATCACAGGTCTGGCGACCAGGGTCTTAAATACCCTGTAGGTGTGGTCTTGAGCAGGCCCTCCCCCCTCCCATGTGGGGGGCGGTGGTGGCGGGGGCTGACCTTTGGCGGGTTTTCTGAGGGGTGGGGGTCTGGAATGGGAGGAGTGAGACCGGAGCGGAGATTCCCAACAATGAACAATAACACTTGTGAGGATTCCTGCAAGCTCTGCTGCCAGCAGAAAAACAAACCAAAGAGGCCAGAAAGGAAGCTCAGTTCAGCTCAACTTGGCCAGACTTCTTCAAACTTCTGCAGTCTGACTCTGAGCAGTTTATTTTTTAGAACTTAAACACAGTAAAATTTTGGGGGAAAGTTTCCTCATGACAACAAAGCTTAAGGCATGACTACATGGGAACTCTTGCAAAATACTCGTCTTTTTCAAAGCACCTGCCATCTCTTCCTCAAGGATGGGTTCTACTGACTGAGAAACAATGCTCAGGGTAAGGGGGATTTGAGGGAGAGCTGGTGCCACAGAATAACAAAAGATCGCCAGGTTATTTTAAACAACATCCACTCCAGCCTTCTGAACAGTCCATTTCTTCTGTTGAAGAAAAAAGCCTGAGTGTTTAACAATTCTGGTTTCTTTAGTGCTGGCTGTAAGCACGTGGACCTCATGCCCTCTATGAACACTCAAGAACAACCAATGAAACACGCATGCCGGGTAAGGTCTAAGGGTGAAAGAAAGGAGGGGTGGGAGCTTGCCATTCCCTCTTGTGGAATCCGGGGTATCTGCCTCTATGATGATATTTTATTTGTGCTGAAATGTGATTTTATTTGTAATGTTAATAAAGTTGCCTGGAGATCAGAGCTAAGAGCAAGCCATTTAGCAGAAGTCCCGTGGTGGTGGCCATGCCCTTAATCCAATCACATGGCAGGCAGAATCTCTGTGTGTTCAAGGACACAGCCAAGCAGTGATCCGAACCTTTAATCTCAGTACGAACCATAGAGACCTGGAGGTCTGTATAGACAGGCAGTGACAAGGAAGTCATGTGATTGGGTTTAGAGCCAATGAGAAGGCAGAACAGAAAGGCAATAAAAAGACAGGACACAGGAAGAAGGTCTCTCTCAGGGGAAGGATGGCAGCAAGTGGCGACTTTTGGTCGTGGTGTTTGGTCACAGCAATAATAACCGTAAGACACATGGATATGGGTATTTTGCCTGAATGTCTGCCTGTGCACCAAATGTGTGCAGTGCCTGCTGAGGCCAGAAGAGGGCGGCAGGTCCCTTAAGATATGAGTTAGATGGCTGCTAATTGGACTTGGGACTTAAAATCCTGCCTTTAAAACATTGAATTTTCAGGGCCGTGGTGGTGCATGCCTTTAATCTCAGCATTCTGAAGGCAGAGGCAAGTGGATCTCTGAGTTCAAGGCCAACCCAGTCTACAGAGTGAGATCCAGGACAGCCAGAGCTACAGAGAGAAACCCTGTGTGGGGAAGGGGGACAGTTTTCTCCTGAACTGCTTTATTCATTCAAATAGTTTCATTGATCATAAAACTTCCATCATTAAGCCAGGCCTGGTCATGTCTATACTCCCAGAACTTGGAAGGCAGAGGCAAGAGGATTAGGGGTTCAAAAGTCAAGGCCAACCCTAGCGTTGGTAGAATTCGGTCCTCTACATAAACTAGTTATTGCCATCTTAATCAGTGCATGCAAAACCCTCAACAAGATTGGACCTGTTGACCTACCCTCATAGAAGGAGGGATAATTGAGATAATTCTGAGACTCCAGCCCCTCGATTCCTCTTCTGCCTCCTTCCTGGCTACTGGTGCTCAGGCACTGCCAGAGTACAGCCATCAGAGGTTAACAGATGTGCTCAGGCATGCTGGAGTACAGCCATCAGAGGTTAACAGAGGGGTGAGGTAGACTCCATCTATACATCCATAGGGAGTTGTCATCCACGCTGGGGTAACACTTTTTGGTGATAGGGCTGATTTCAGGTCACTTATTGGTTCACTTGACTGTCATTAGTGCCCTATCTGGGTACAATGGACATTTGTCCACATCTCCCCAGGAAAGTTCACATTCCATCCCCAGCATAAACTGGACACAGTGACACACACCTGTAATCTTCTAGTCTGTTTTGAAGTTGGCTAATTTATCTGGATACCTCCAATTAACTGTATAGTAAATATACACTAGGTATATCTTGTGGGGTGTTCACCAGAGAAGACTGCTCAGACACGGGTTTAAGCCAGAAGGTGAATACACTGGGTGTTCAGAATCCCAGTGTAGCCCTGTGCCTTTCTCGGGGTGATATTTTAAGCACAAAAACCATGCTCTGGGTTGACACCCAGAACACTTCAGTTAACAAGAACAGTTAGCCAGAAGCCGAACTACAGAAGCTAAAAAGCAAGGTTAGTACATTTAGAGTCTTTCCCAGAACTATGGACTTTGATGGATTAGGCCTTTGTTTTGGTTTTGTGTTACCTGCTGAGTTTTATGACCTGAAAGACACTTCCATCACGGAGTCAGTTGTGCTGAGGTCTGGGGCCCTGAAACAGAATTTGTGGTGATACTTTGTGTGTGCTCTAACAAATAAAGCTACCTGGAAATCAGAGTATGGAGCTAGCCACTAGAGGCCAGGCAGTGGTGGCACACACCTTTAATCCCAGCACTTGAGATCTCATGCCTTTGATCCCAGTACTTGGGAGGCACACACCTTAATCCCAGCACTAGGGAGGTGGAGACAGGAAGTGAGATGGCAGAGTGGCAGGGGACTATAGGGCAGGAGGAGACAGGAGCTCACCCCTTTCAGGCTGAGAAGTTGGCGAGGTAAGACGTAGCTGGGGCTTGCTCTTTTGTCTCTCTGATCTTTCAGCATTTACCCTGATATCTGGCTCAGGGTTTTTATTATTAAGACCAATTAGAATTCACGATGCAAATATATACATTAATAAGCTTATTTTCTTCTCATTTGTTCCAACAATCTTTCTAAAATAAAAACTCAAGAGTGGGTACAGGAACATTTGTTTAATTCTTCCTCTTTAAGAATAACATTACACTGGGCAGCAGTGGCGCACGCCTTTAATCCCAGCACTCGGGAGGCAGAGGCAGGCGGATCTTTGTGAGTTCGAGGCCAGCCTGGTCTACAGAGCGAGA